AAGTTGTCAAAAAGGGAAACGTAAATGAGTAAATGGGGCGTCCCGAAAAGGAAAGTGTAAAGATTTAAATGAGACGAATGGAGTACATGATTACCTAATGAATCCAATTTCGAATCCAAAACTGTATGTATGCTAAAAATGCTCTATTTATGTTGAAAACACTTTTAATGAAACTACATACATCATGATACGATCGTGTCAAATTCTACATGAGTTCGGAGTGAAATCGGAAATGTTTGTGAATTTTAAGTTAATGTGTAAAGTATAAAACAGAAAGTTTTTCAAAATTGGGGTGGTCCCCATGTATGCTAACAGGCACATGGCTCTAGTGTATCTCTAAGCAACTTTTCAACAAGTGATATTACTCAAATAAATACGTAGTAATTGAGAAGTTGCTTAAAAGCAAAATAAACGTATGCATGCATCGATACATTTATTTTTATGCAAACATGCTCTAAGCAAGTTCAAGGCTAGATTGCGGGAGTATGATTCTTACGTATTTTGATGTTATTGGTGAATCGGATTAATCCGGCTAATAAATAGTGCAACTCCGATCCGCTTGCTCATTTTGGGTATATGGGAAATTCGGGTTTGGTATGGGATATTAATGCGTTCCTAAAGAGTCTATCATATATAGGGAGTGTTTGCAATCACTTAAAAAAAAGCACTTCTCAGCTTTTGGTTTAAAAAAGCACTTATTTACCAAACACTACAAATTTTAACTTTTTCTCGGCTTGCGTGTGAAAAGTCCTTTTCCCCTTTCTATTACACAAAAGCACTTATTTTACCAAACACTATCAACTTTTACTTTTCAAAATCACTTTTTTCTCAAACACTATCAACTTTTCCTACTAATCACTTTTTCCTTACATCTCCAAAAGTGTTTTTTTTAAGCAGAAGCAGTTGCAAACACTCCCATAGCCTGTTGCTCATAGAAGCTTTCAATGCATTGTCTCACCTACAAAATTTTCAATTTTGTAGTCATATGGATGAACATCCATCACCAAAGGTAGCAGGTTCATGTAGTGGAAGGAGCAACTTGAAAAATGGCAGGTGACGTAAGTCCCGCTGGATTCTTCTTTTATAACTAGTACCGACAAGATTGACTGTGATCAAATCCGAATTTTATTGTTTAGAGGTTTTTGGGAAAAAACACAATAGAAAATGTGATGCGTTTTACTTAAATATAAGAAATTCTCCCAAATGTTATGTCTTTATCCGTTTGTCATATAATTTCACTAAGAAAACAATTACGAGTATAAACAAAAGTAGGATCACACGACTAATATCGATATTCAAATGCTATCATAATCACTACACTGCTATACAGCAATGTTAAACCTCACTAGCTATTTAAATAAATTTTGATCACTTATTTTACAATGATAATTTTATCTCCATTATACTTCTTTGTGAGAAATTATAACCGATTCACCCTAATTAAGTGATTGAAAAATTATATATTATTGGAAAAGTAATAGTCCTAGTAAAGAATGTGTCAACCCACAATCCTCGTTGGTTTAAAGTAAGAATGCATTAGCCATGCATCAAATATAATTCAAATCCCTGTTGTTATCATATATCATGCACATGACATCATGGAACAACAAATTAGCAATTCGAAAATCATGTGTCTTAACGATACTATAATTAAATGTGTAAGTAAAATTTTCAAGATCTCTAATTTATACTTCTTATGTCCCATAATTAAAATTACACTTTGATTTCAAATATATCAAGGAAATAAATTTACTGGGGGTAAATTTTATTGTAGATGACATTGTTTCGACACCGTTACGGAACTGTTTTGCAGTGTTTTGTACTGTTTTGATACGTATTTGTTTGTTAAATCAAGAAGTGAGACTTTATTTCGGGAGTGTCTGAAAAGGAAAGTGGAATGTTAATTTTAGAACATACTCCCTCCGTCCCCTTTTAAAAGTCCCGGAGGAGGGTGACACGAGTTTTAAGAAAAGTGGGTTTGTGTGGTTGATATTAATTGATAAAGTAAGAATAAAGTAAGAATGATTTTGAGCCACACAAACTTTACCAAATAAGGTATGGGACAATTAAATAGGGACATCCCAATATGATAAAATGGGACATTTAAAAGGGGACGGAAGGAGTACTACGTAGTACATAGGAACAGATTTCCACATAAACGTCACATCTTTATTCATCAATTTTCATTTTTTGTCATTATTCTTATATAGATAGTACTCCATCCGTCCCGCTAAGATTGTCCCATTTTACCTTTTCAGGAAGTCCCACTAAGATTGTCTCATACCAAATTTGGTAAAGTTTGTGTGGCTCTAAATCATTCTTACTTTATTCTTACTTTATCAATTTAATTTCAACCACACAAAGTTATTCTTTTCAAAGAAGAGAAAAAGAAAACGTATAGTAACACCTAAGAAGTAGTGGCTTGTGACTGAGGCATAACTTGTGAACATCTCTCTAGCTAGTCTGATCTCGTGTGAGTGAAGTAAAATTAAAGGAGTATATGGATGATTGGTTCGTGGGAATGGACTAAGTCAAAAAAGGTGGTGAATGGATAAGATCACACGTGGCTGGTAAAACTGCAACCACAATTAAAAGCATATGGCAAACCCCAAAGTCCCAAACAGTTTTGGATTCACACCAGTAAACAAACTAAAGCAACAAATCCGATCTTTGCCGGCCAATGATATACTCTTCTTTCACATGATCCCAACCCAAAGAGCCAGGCAAGATGTGTATCTGTCTATCATACACGGCTTCTTATATCACAACACCATCATGCCTTGGTGTCAAGGGCGGAGCCCTTGGGTCAGGGTGCTCAGTCGACCCCGCTGAAAGTTCAAGTATGTAGAACTCTGAAATACTTTCGATTTGATATATTATGAACCTCATAACTCATTACGAGTAAAAAATTATGACTTCTGGAAAAATCAGCGCCATTTTAACTTAAATAAGCAAAATTTTATGTGTAGCGTTGATTATATTCTTAAATTTAAAAATAAAACAGCTTATTCAGTCATTAGTTGTGTAAACATTATGATACATTACATATATATCATTACATTAACCGATAAATGCTCATTAAATTACCATTTATCTCAGCTACATATGAAACATTTAACTTAAGTATTGTATAATAACTATCCATCACTTTGATACTGTATATAATTAAATTTCGACCCCGCTCACACATTTTTCTGGTTCCGCTTAATTGGTGTATTTATTTAAGATTAAATTTAAGTTTGTGGTTCTCATTTTTCCTTTTTTACAAGTGCAATAGAATTGCTGTTAAATTAATTTAACTTTGTATCCTCCCGCAAACAAAGAAAATTATACACAACAAGAGAATAATATTATTTCACAAAATAATATTTATATAATGTACTACGTATTTAATAACTAAATAAGTACTACGTAAATAATTTATATGAACCAATATGTCCTTACATTATTATAAAGCTTTTAAATAATGTATTAATAAATAAATAAGTAAATTATTTATATGAACCCATATGTCCTTCCACTATTATAAAGCTATTCTCTTTTATATCTCTTTTATATCGCTTGATTTGACACGTCACATCAATGTTTTAGTAGAAGTGTAGAACTATATTTTCAAACTAAAAGATACGGAGTATACTACTCCGTAATATTTAGCTATAACTTCTTCAATTCCTCTTGATCTATTATTATAAATATTGCTTTTAGCAATTGATTTACCTCTATGTTAGTAGTTTCTTTTGGCTACTTGGATTTAACTCAAGTAAAAAGGAAAATAATGCTCTTTGGTCTAAATTTGAGAGTGGGTCCTCCAACTTAGTTATTGGATTTGTTCTAAATATGGACAAATCATTTCTAATGAAAGAGTAAAGATTGATGGACATAATTTGGACAATAAAATGAGGTGCAATCAAATTATCTCTACATCATATGTAGGTACATCATAAATAGGCAGGGGCGGAACCAGGGGGAGCGAGCCGCGCCACCCCTTCGCCGAAGTATATCCATTAGCGCCCCTGTGCTTCAGTCCGCTCAAATCGTCGCAGGCTGTTCTGGAACACAGAAACGCTGGAGGAGGAGGGTTTTGGTGAAAATTTTGAACTTTCCCCACTTATAGGAAACGACGTTGTTCGGTTAAATGAAAAAAAAATACTATGTATTCCGGATGTAAAATTCCGAAGTCAATTACTAAAAAAAATACTATGTATTCCGGATGTAAAATTCCGAAGTCAATTACTCCAATACTCCATATTAGGTTTATGCCGTTCAGTCTTTCAGAGCCGAATTATATTGTTGGGAATTCAAAGACTAAATTCACAGAACCCTCTAATAGATTGGCATCTTGGATTCTTGGACTCTTCGAGATTGCAGATTTGGGGATTTGACCTTTCCCCTTCCTTTGTGGTCTTCGTTTGCCGACTTCCCGCTGCCAATTGCAAGTAGTATAATAGCTGCATAATAATTTATTAATTACATTTAGGCCTTGACCCGTAAGTGGTATTGTGGTTTAGATTTTAGGCCTCCTTGTTTTGTTTAAGGTTTAATCAATTAATAATTTACTTGTCTAGCCGTTTTTACTAAATTGAAAGTTTGTAATTATTTTCTTAAAAACTAATGGAGATGCTTGGTTTTTATAATTTGAGGTTATCTATGTGACTATCTATATATAATTTTGGGGTGGTGGGTCTTCAAAAATACGCTCATATGAATTTAATCCAAATGATATTGCGGTTGATCCGGGGCCACATACACCACCTATCAATGATTTTGACAATTTCGACCAAGTTCGAAGAGAGTGTTTAACTAGAGGTCCTTGGTTATATACGCAAGAACGGGATTTTTGCAAACATTGAAAATGAAGCAATTTTGCGACGCTTTCAACGCATGCAGACACACATTTTGACATATTATGTACGTAGTATTGTTTATACTCTTATTAAAATTTCAGTGTCTTGAGTTTAAAGATTCTTTTAGCCACCCCTTAAATTCGGTTCTTTCCGCCACTGTATATAGGTAAGTATAATAGAATGACTTGATTGAGTTTTTAATTATTAATTTCCGGATGTATAGCTAAGACGAGGATGCAATTTTTGGATTGACTTCTGTTGGAACACGACTCCTGACGTTTTATATTCGTGATAGAAAAAAGGAGACAAAACTAAAAATACACACAGAAAAGAGTTGTTACAATTTACGATTGTGGCCTGATTGATGGCTGTCCAAAAAGGGGTAATAATGCTTCATTGACACCATATATATTCATGCAATGCAAATTTTGCCATACTTGAATTACATTCAATGGTTTACTTGAAAGCCAAATACTACAGACCCATGCCTCATTTCTCAATCTCCTCTTCAATGTGGCCATCTACATTGACAAATGAATAAGGAGATCAATAAAGATCAGATATATTATATTGAGTACCTGATTTGAGCTTCCAAAACCTGGTTTTATCCATTTTGTGATTGCTTAATCTCATTGTACGCTTAATGATTTTGGAACATATGAACTTTTACCAGTGAGTGTGACAGCCAAGCTTGCCTGTTTATCCGCTTCAGTGTTCAATTTCTACAAATTCAAATGTAGATACAAATGAAAAACATTAGAGTTTTTTAAAAAGTATATTTAAGAGGTCATACTTTTGTGAACAACATCTATTTTAATCATAAAAAATATACTCCGTATGATTTTTTCATAACATTATTTATAGTAGTTAACACTACCTGGCTCTATCCCAAAAGATACTTTATTAATATACATTTCTTAATTGAAATGCAACACTTAAAACTCATCATCAGTCAATTCAGCCATACTCGTATTTTCATACTTGGTATTTAATTTTTGGTTCAATTATTTTTTATGAGATTTTTCTTTAAATATTACTGAAATAAAATTTATAGACAAAAAATGTGATCAAAGTTACCATGATTATACCGCTCGGTCACTACAATGTCATTACAATGTAAAGTCGAATATAATCATTGATAAAGTCGTTTTTATAGTCACTAAAGTATAAAAAATCAAATCATTTACAATATTTGTCAAAACAATAACCCTTGCTTCAGGAAGAAAAACTGAATTACGGGTATTTTTTTTTTAATGCAAAATTACGGGTATTTCAGAAGTTGTATACTGTTTTTAAACCAAAGTCATCCGTATTTATAACATGTTTCCAAATTCCACATATAATCTAATACACTTCCAAATTCCACATATAATCTAATACTCCCTCCGTCCCTAATAACTTTGCCAAGTTTGACTGGCACGGGGATTAATAAAGTAGAAAGTGTGTTGTTGAGGTTTGTGCAGAGGAGAGAGAATTAACTGGAACCACAAATTCTTTACTTAAATGGGAAAGTGGCAAAGTTAATGGGACATCCAAAAAAGGAAAGTTGGCAAAGTTATAAGGGACGGAGGGAGTATACACTAATACATTATGTTTCTAATGCACTTTTGGTTTCATATAAACTACTAGGAAGTATTGTTTAAACTTCAGTCTTCAGAGGGGTAAAACTAGGACTAAGTAATTGATGTTCCATATAGATTTCATAAAAGATGACCACAAAAGAAGTTTAAAAACTTGACTGATATCTAGGACCGGAGAAGCTAGCAGAGAGTGTAATAAGCACTGAAATCACAAAGTGAGATACAATGAGAAAGAAAATTCATTGAATAGAGTAGCATAAAAATCAAACAAAAGTAGAATGGGCAAAAATTACCCGCGAAACATGCTCTATCTTGAAGGATAGAAACCTGGCCTTGAGTTGTTTGGCCTGCTCGCACAAGGTTGAAATTCTTCGGCTTTTAACTTTCACTTGCTCTTGGATCTAATGAACACCAACATATATGGTGTATATTTTAGACTCCAGTAGAGATGATAGGAGGGTTAATTAACAACTTAACACACAAAATAGTAAGATAAAACCTGCATGCAAACTGTCTTAGAGTCACCCCGAACACGAATGTGAGTAAATCCTTTCTGAAGTGCATACTTCAATCCCAAAATAATGGCCCGATATTCGGCAGTGCTAGAGTCTGCTGTGCCCAAACCTTCACGCAGGCGACAGGTCTGTGGAAAAATAAGGGAGTGGATGGGATAAGCCCCTCAACGAGTATAATAAGAAAACACTTTGTTCTCTATTATTTACTCCGTATACTACGTATAACACAATAAACCATTATATAAGAATAGAAGATCAACCTATTTTGCCATTCCCACCCTTTCTCACTTTTGGACTTCTTGACCAAAAGTGAGAATGACCTAATAGTCGCTTGACACAATAATAATGCTTACCATACTGCCATTATCGGCACGAAGCACAGCACCTGCCCCTGCTTGTCCATTTGCTTTGGAAGAACCATCAAATTCAAGCATACAAGAGGGCTGGTACTTTAAAAAGAAACCAGGTTCAGTTGCAGCATCATTATAATCAATCGTAGCCAGTTAAACTATGTTAGATATTATTGGATTTCTTGCCAATGGAAACCTTAGCTTTCGATATGTACAAAACTACAAATACATTTCTACCAGTTAATCAGTATCAAAGAAAGCATTTTATTGCATCATTTATGTCAACCATGCCCTGAACAAAATGTACCCCGCCCGTGGCTAAAACAAATAAGAGAAAACATTATTACCTTGTTCTTTGACCTCACTGCTTCATGTGATACTTTCTGTTGTTTTTTTTCATTCAAAAGGGTCTGCTTAAGAAACAAGCTAAGAGGCATAACAGAATGCCACTAGTTCACATAAAAGGTGTGGAGAATACAAATAAAACATGCAGATCACTCCTAATATTGTAATAATATTGTCTCATAAGTAGTAGTTTCTAAAATTACCTTTGGAGCCTTGGAGCGCGATTTTTTACTCTTTCACAGGGCAGCGGTAGAACACAAGATACATTTAATTAGAGCCTCGTCCCAAAAACTGGTCTCTTTGGGAGTGTGTAAGAAAACCTCAAGAAGTTTACTTAATTTATGCTTAAATATTTGACATCATTCATACATCATGATTCATGAGAATGTGAGATACTACGTATAAGGAATGGTAAGAGAAAATTCCTTAAACATGACTAAACATACACAAATTGCACATATACACAAATTGTGCATATAAGACAATCATTGTTTCCTTCTTCCTAAAATATGACTCATGTACTTCTCATTGGGGAAGTTTTTTATTATTCAAAGGATCAAATAAGTCGAGAAAAGTGTTTTTATCATTCAAAGGATCAAATAAGTCGAGAAAAATATAGATACTCTTATATGTCCACTTTGTCTATGTTATAATCCTATTTGAAGCAATTTTTGTGTGATATATACATACGGTGAAATGCATAAATGATACCTTAATTATTGGTATTGTTCGTAATTATTGGTATTGTTGCGTTTTGATATCTTAATTTTTAAATGAATCAAATCAGTATCATAATTACACATAAATGTTTCAATTGACAATTTTTTTTCAAATTTCCGGCCAAAATATCACTTCACCTTATGTGTAAAGTCCACTTCACCTTACTTTTGTTCTTGTCATCGATGTGCAGTGGATTCTACACATGAAAATTTGATTGCATATAAGATTTTTTTTACCGCACATGAAAATCTGATTGCATATAAGATTTTTTTACCGCAAATTTGAACAATATTGTAAATTGAAACATTCATGTATAGTTATGATACTCATTTGATTCATTTAAAAGTTAGGGTACCAAAACTCACCCAAATAGATCCCAAGAAGTTGGTTTACCTTGGGCTTATTTATTGTTGGTGCATGAGTATGATCTGGTTTTTTTCCTTGAGAACCATTCTTGTTCTCTCCTTTAGAACCATTCTTCTTTGTCATTGTAGAAGAATATGATCTAACTAGAAGACTTTCTATAGCTGAGTGATATCCAACAAGACTGCGACTCTTTGAAGTTATAGCAGATCGAAGAAAATGCATGAAACAAGATGTTCATCAACCCACCAAGACTTTACCAGGCTTCCCCTAATCTCCATAGAGAAAAAACAAAACAGAAGAATAAGAAAGATAAAAACTTTAGGCACGCATGTTAATTTCAGTTGAACAGTCGAAATGAAAACCTGGGTTTCGAGTCTCTTAGCTTCCTTGAAACTAAATACAAATATTACACTCCCAAGGCAGTAACTTTGCTGGATTAATTTAGAGTTGAAAAGAAACGACATTTATATGAGTAGGTTATGTCACTATGTGTAATGTGGTAAAGCTAATGATGATTAGAATAGCATGAATAATTAAGTTCAAGACACGCGGCAGTTACTTAAGTTCAAGACAGTCCAACTGCTCCATTACGTGGAAGTTCATTACGGTATTACCGATCATGACTGTCTTAAGGGAGATTTGATCAAAACATAGTTTTCTACTAATATATGTCCATTTTGGTCAGTTATTTACTTATTTGTAACATCGATGTTACAGAAAAAGTTTTATATATAACAAAAGAAAATTGTTTAATCATTCGTATTCCTTGTAAAAAAGAATATATATGACTCCATGTTACTTAGTACCGGAGTATTTTCTTTAGCAATACTCATGTACACTCAATAATCTCTTTATACTACCTCCGTCTCATAATAGTTGTCTTATTTCAATTTGACACGATTATTAATAAAATGGTGGAAAATTAAAAATTGTGGTTGAGATTTGAGTATGAATGAAGTGAAATGATATGGATCATTTCTTACCAAAAAGGAAAACACGACATTCATTTTGGGACAACCCAAAATAGAAAGTAACATAAGACAACTAAAATGGGGCGGAGGGAGTATTTGCTTGTTTCATCAAATTTGTAGTTGGCCTGGTGAGGTTCACTCTTAGAAGTCTAAGAGTGCACGGTGCACACGTGGCATGAGAAATGGCCACATAAAATATTAGTAAATAAATTCTTTCTCTCCTTATTTGAATGATTTTATACAATTTTGGTAAGTTTTCTCCACAATGTCAAGAAGACTGTCTAGATGTTGACATTGTTGTTGATATTGCAGGGAAAAACTTACCAAAATTGTATAAAGTCATTCAAATAAAGAGAGAGATAATTAATATGCTAATATTTATGTGGCTATCACTCATGCCACATGTGCACCGTGCACATTATAGCATTGGAGATGCTCTAAAAGCTCGACACAGTCCTTTACTTTCTTAGGAGTTCCTTTGTTATAGATTGATTTACTGAATGTTTAAGGCAAGAAAGAAGTGAGAGCAAAACATTTAATTAGAGGCAAAGTGGATCTAGTTCTATTGAAGTTTTTAGAACGAGTAAAACATAATGCCGAGTGAGCGCTCCGACCCCCTAAATCAAGCTGAATGTTACATAAAAACTAGAGAAAAGTCTAATGTTAAGGATACAAAAGTGTCAACCCTTTGCAATGAAATAAATGATGTTATTTATACTAAAGGTGACAACTCCGGTACCTTTCTAAAATATGGGGTACCGTACCTATCATTCATTTGATTGGACCATATCACTTTATCATTTTTAATTTAGATTTAAATAATTCAACTGCTACATTCTCATTGGTTCATGTGGACAAAGGTATGGTACCTTATGGGTACCATAAAATTTACCTATATTAAAAAGTAGGTGATGGAGGTGATGTGCTCAACCCTGAATGGATGAACTCCCAACACCAATTATTCCATATCTGGTGCATTAAATTTGATTTTAACCAATTCTCGGGTTTCCGGTCAACTGCTTGGAAGATTCTGTCTTGACTACTAGATCAGGTATAGTAGAGAAGTCTAAGGGTTGGTTTGCAACTGCTTTTAAAAAAGCACTTCTCAGCTTTTGGCTTTAAAAAAACACTTATTTTCCCAAACACTACAACTTTTATTTTTCTCGGCTTACGCGTCAAAAGTGCTTTTACTTTTTCTATTACACAAAAAGCACTTATTTTACCAAACACTACCCACTTTTACTTTTCAAAATCACTTTTTTCTCAAACACTAACAACTTTTATTTAATCATTTCTCCCTATTTCATTAAAAAAAGCACTTTTTTAAAAGCAGAAGCTGTTGCAAACAGACCCTAAGTGAAGGGAATATCCTGAATTGGACAACGAACGACATTCCTGAATTGGCTAGATCGTGATTGGGCCGATATATAGATTGAGCCTCCTGGGACATTTAGGCCTAATACTGGGCCAGATCCAATCATCCTACATAATTGCACTACTTTGGAGAAAATCTTTTTCCCGCTCAAGCATCTTACGCACATCGACCACACGATACAAAATTAGATCTACCGCTGTGATGAAAAGATCGTTCATTCCTTTTAGCCTCTCCTCCCTCACTGCAGACCATTCGAGTTTACTCCATTCCTAGATGGATGTAAACGGCCTCAACAGCACTCCTTCTCTCATCGGAATCCATCAAAAGCTCAGAAGCAATTCATCTTCTTTGCTCATCGGAATCTATCCGAGTTGAAAAGCTCGACAACAATTTTTCTCCTAAATCGCTCAATGGAATCTGGAAAAGCTCGAAGTATGCACATTCCTGGGCCCGGCTGAATTTTTGTTTTAATTTTATTTCATGTATGATTCTATATTACATTCATGCTCTGTTCATATGCCTTTTTAGATTCATGTTCAAGAGAGTACAATGTCTTTTTCCTTTATTTTCTTGATTTCAAGATGAAAAGCTATGGCAATGAAGAACAAGATGCTTGCTCTCCCTTTAGGTTTCAACGATTTACCTGCAATTGTCCTCTTCAGGGTCAATTGCTTCTTCTTTTCTCTTGTGGTTATTGTTTAATCCTCTTCAGAATCAGAAGATTAATACTCTTTTCTCTGTCATTCAATTTTTCTCTCTAATTGATCAATTAATTCGTCGTATTTCTATTCACTTTCAGAGTATCTAAATGGTAGTTAAAAATGGAGGCCCGTGCAGGTGGAGAATATTTCTCTTTAAGGTTAACCTTTTCTTTCATCTTCTTCATTGGTCAATGTCGAAAAACTTTTTATTCTTCCATTATTATTCAAATTTTTGTAATTGAATTCATTATTTTACTTTATTTTTTGTATAAATGATTAGTTGACCATTTCTAATGTATTTTCAAATCATTGAAATTTATTTTCCACTTCCCTTAGAAATATTGATCAGTGATCAATAACTAGATAGTATTTGTTTCTTAGAATTAATTGATTTTAGATGATTACTTTCTAACATATTTGGTGGCCATACATGCTGGAGTGTCACTGCAGGCACATTAGGTGTGCAGTTTCACAAATAAGACTTAAAGGTAGCAATTTCATCTGTTTTAAACACTGGGTTAGTAATAACGGTTAAATATTTCTCAATCGGATGCATGTGTATTGTTTCTGGGCAGTAAGAGTTTATTGAAAAACGTCGATTTGGATGATACGATAGTTAAATAGACCTTTATCTCTTACAAAACTTCTAGAACTGCAAATCACAGACTTTACTACCAAAAAATAGGGAAGGGCAATTTGTGGAATGAATGTAGCTTTCTTGGGAAATCAAGGGCCTCAGTTCGACCTATCATTGGGAGAAAGTCTTTGCACAGGAATAACTTGGGGTTATCTGCATCATGTAAATATCTAAAGTTTGAGCATAGAAGTGTCATCTTTGTGCACTTTAGGAATTTCGGGTAACAAATTAACTGGTAATCTTTTTCCCCAGTTGATTCACTAACGGAGTCATATAAGTACATAACTTTTAATAATAAACTACTACTTTTATTGATATAAATCCAAAGCCTGAACTTGCAACTATTTTTAGAGGATATTAGAATACTTCCATAAGGAAAGTAATGGACCTAAACTCAGTAAGAATTGAAAACCTAATAGGATTAGGAAAGCCAAGCCTTGAAACTGATAGGAACAAGAGACTATAATAGTGCCAAACGTGTCATACATGAACCATTATTTTTATATGTTAAAACAGAAGTCAGTGTGTGGTAAAAAAGCAACCTCCATAAAATGGACATGGGATTTGATTGAAGCTTACTATTATCTTGCACTTTTGTCAGCTTCTTAAATTGCTAGCTGTGCGTTTACATGGGGGACTGTAGCTGTCCTTCCATTTTATACATTCATTGTTGCTGCGCCGCGGTCTGACTTGGTAAATCTCTCCATATGAAACTCTTATAAATCATTCTACATAATTGCACTACTTTATGGAAAAAGCATTTGCCAATTGCCACTCAAAGTCGCGAAGAATTTTCAACTGTGCGATTTCTTATCAAATGTACGACTGAAGTTTTTCCTTCCCCAATGTTCGGCTCTTCCACCTCACCCCACTTTCAGATCTCACTATACTCTCATTCTCCCCTTGATGGAAACCCTTACACCCCTTCCGTGTTTCATAAAAAATCCTCTCTGAATTCGTTTTTCTTCGTTTGAGTTCAGTCAATTTGTTCTACCTCTTATCAGATCAGTCAATTTTTACCTCTCCCTATGACTCCGGCCTTAAGGGCACATTTCATAGAAGGTATTTTCTTTCCCTCCCTATTTCCTTATTTCAAATAAGTTTTTGTCGAACTTATGTAAAGTAATGTTGCACGGAGTCTTAATCAATTTTGGATTCTCTCTCTTGAGAACAGTTTCTAAATTACAAGACAACAATGACAGCCATTTCAATTTCAATCTATCCATTGTTTGCCATATCTATTACTCCGAACTTCCTTTTAGATTTTCTCATCTTCACCGTGTTTTGTAGTTG